CTAAAAATGTAATCACCGATATTAGAAATTTGATTGATTATGATAATAGAAAATATTTAAAGCTTTACATACAGAATTAGGGCCTTCACGTCCATTTGAATTTAAGTCAGGTTTGTCAAATGGTAAAAAAGATCCGTCTGGTTCTTTTTTTTTATTACTGGCTTTTGTACCTTTTATTCAATAATTAAAAGCATGTTCAAGTTATCTAAAGCATTATTAATAATAAAAAAAAAAAGTAAAATACTTATGTGTGGATCTAAAACTAGTGAGCATTCTTTGTGGATCTGCAAAAGTAATTTCACGTTCAATTGCACTAGTACAAACCTCATGAGGCCCTAAGGGCAATTCATACACATAAACATTCTGATTTATTCACTCCCACCTTCCATGCACATTATACATATCAGTTCGAACTGAATATTTCTCCCAATCAACATCACTTTTTAGTAAATAGGGTAACCTTAACACTATGCATCCAAGAAGCGACAACAGATGTTAATCACATGAAAACGACGAAGGCAGTGAGGCAAGAAATTACTTACAAAGCTTCATCCCAGTTTGCACTCAGGTGTATATTTCCATCGATCCACCATAAATTTCGAAACTTTGTCAATACATCATTGGATTTAGGAAGTTAGAAGATAACATCGCTATTATAATAAATTAGAACAATTCTGAAGAGTTAGCCTAAAGAATTTATAATTACACGACCTTGTCTTGGCAACAGAGCTTGCTGTTTCGCTTGAAGTTGTACTATCTCTCGAAGCTGAGCTCTTCTGAAGTTGAGCTGTTATATAGAACTTTAAATAGAACGACTCTTAAGAGTTAGCCAAAGGATATTACACATACCTTAATGTCTCATTAGAGCTTGTTTCTTTTAAGGATGACCATCTATAATTGTTGTACATGATTTACTGCATGTCATATTTATGTTACAAAATGAAAAAGATCTGATCACTCTTCATTAACGATTTTATGATTGATTTATTGATTTTCACAATTTTCGCAGTAATAATTTTTGTATTACGTTTTTTGTTTGAAAAACGATCCTCTGAATCATATCCGCACATCTATATATATCCTAAAATCAAATTCAAGTATAATTTGAATAGTATCCTGGAGATACTTTATAAGGAGGAAGGTTACTGTGTAAGGGGGATACCGCATTAAAGGAATTGGCTTATTTATTAAACACTCAGGTATAACCGTATAGCACTGACTAAAAGATCCTTACTTCCATTATAATATATCAGGGTATAATTCAATTTTAAATTTAATATAGATCCAGGTATTTTATCATTGAACAATAATAACTGTTACTTAATATCAAAAAATTTTTTTGACTTTTGAAATTTCAATTTATATTATAACTCTTGCTATTGTTAACACTAACTTTATTATCATAATAATATGCGTGAAATT